TACAGCATCTTATATTTTCATGCTGTCACCCATCTAAGTACTGACCATGATCGACGTTGCTTAACTTCTGTGATCGGACTAGAACCGGTGCGTTCGATGTGATATGGTCGTAAGTTTGAAATAGAGATGTGTACACGTGTGTGCGAGTGAGTGTGAGTGTGTGTGTGTGTAAGTATGCGTGTTTGTACCAACTGACACGTTTCTTAAGTAACATGTGAATTATCTGTCTAGAACAATCTATTGCCTCCGTTGCTTTCTCTCGCGTTTTCACGCAAACTATCATGCATTGATAAAGCATAATCTTGCTTAGCACCAAATAAGGCAAGAGATGTCATGTAACTTGCTGACAGCCTTTTTAAAAAAACTTTACAACCCAAACCTGGCTACTTTTAAACATAGTCAGTGCCATGCGTGATACACGCTTAGGCGATCATGTATCCTTCGATACATGACTGACAAGGCAAATATTTTCCCGCAGTTGATTGCCATTTCTTTCTGCGGTAGACCATTTGACATCCAAAGCTATAGAACCCGATCTGTCCTGCTATTTACCCATAGCTGGGAAGAGAAGAAAAGGATTTATACCTTTCTCAAGGGTATTAGCACCTAAGTGAATGTAATGGATTCGACCGGAAATCGAACTCGGCTCTCTCTTTCCTCAATCCGAGCCGCTCCCACATGAAAAAAAATATAATGAACATTTTGTAATAGATGAAATAAAATTCGTCAAAACAGGCGTTTCGCTGTTAACAAGCTAACAAATGAATAATGTTATAGTGAGTTCATGCCTTCTTAAACTGGCGTCAAAACAGTAAGAAAGTGTAAAAATAGATTTTAATACCAGCTATAAATTTTTGAAGAATAAATTATTACCAGCAATAAAAATCTTGTCGTCATTAAGTAACCCATATGTTGATATGCCGTGAAACAAAAAAAGAAAAAAAAGAAAAGATTTTAAGTGGTAAAGTCTTTCATACATGTATTCTTGTGTAGGCTTATAAAATACCGAAAATAATCGACAGACGTTATCTCATTTTGTTTTGTTTCTTACTGAGAAGTTAATTGGGTAAAGATTGAAAACCAAATCTCCAATTATATAATTTTCTCCGGTTAGATACGAAATCGTTTTACGTTTTCCTGGTTTTACAATTACATAGACGAGCGTTAGTGGAAATAATTTCAGAAAAGTAGGCTTAAAATTACTGGCTTACATTCAAATGGGCATACTAACAAGATTTTTCAAAAACGTCATGACAGAAACACCCCAATATTGGTAGATGTTATGAGGAATTTAACTGACATTGTTGTGCTTGTAATTACTTTGAACTCTTTGTGGAATACAGAGACCCAACTGTATCAACAGATTATACTTCGATTTCAGTACCAAGTGCATATCTTTTATTCGAATTAGTTATTATCCTTTCAGAGAATTTGGGAAACACAGAGGCTCCATATCAACTTAAACTTTCAACAATTTCAGTAGCATTTCTATATTTTAACCGCTCTGTTGGCTGGGACATCAGAATCCACGTTTGCAACTTTGCAGAGGGTTAAGACCCCCCCCCCACATACACACACAAATGAGGCGTTCTGGGTAAGACAATAAACTACTTCTGCGTCCTGGGTAAGACAATAAAATAAATCCGCATCTTGGGTAAGACGTTAAACTACGTCCAACAATAAGGCCTCAGATCAGGAGGTTTTGAGGAGTATGGAACCACTTCTTAATTGCTAATGTTCCCAGCTCCACCCTGGCCCGGGGTGATAGCACCTGTTAGGGTCCCAAATATGGGCAAATAGTTAATCCCCCACCAAACTGGGGTCAAAACAGTAAAGTGTAATAATAGATTGTTGAGCGGTCACCGAGGTCCTCAGACCTCACATCCTTGGATCGTTTTCGTGTCTACATTGTGAGATGAGTTCTGATCGTTTATTTAGTAGTTTGTATTGCTTTACATACGCTCTAGCCTTGATAATGATCACTTTAAACCATGAATATAACACACACACACACACACACACACACACACACACATATATATATATATATAGTTCTTGCTCCTCTTTTCTTAGCACTTTTCTTTTCTTCTATGCTTAAAAAGCATTCTCTGATCTAAGTGAAGGAGTCAATATTGAATTCAGAACAAGTGGAGGTCTTTACAATCAGAAACGTTTTAAAGCACAATCGAAACGGTCTGCAGCTGGTACGTGATCTTCTATTTGCAGATGCTGCTGCTCTATTAGACCACACAGTCTAGAAGGCATTCAAAATAACCTTGATAAAGTCTCTGAAACAGCGAAACCATTGATGGTACGGCATTAATGATTGTTGAGACGTTCACATATCTTGGATCAACAGTTTCTTCTGATGGAAAAATGGACAGAGAAATCCAATCCAGGAGAGCCAAAGCCAGCACAGCATTTGGTAATCTTAAACATAGGTTATAGAACAACAAAGACGTGTCTCTTAGAGTAAATATCGACATATACAGATCAGTCGTTCTCTCAACAGTTCTCTATGGTGCTGAAACTTGGACCCTGTACTGCAAGCACATAAATCAAGTTGACGCCTTTCAAATGCGCTGTCTTCGTGACATATGTGATATAAAATGGGATGACAGGGTCAAGAATAGTGCAATACTGAAGAAATGTAAGAACATCACAGGCATTGAAAACCATTCTAACAAAGATACGACTTAGGTGCGTTGGTCATGTTGTGAGAATGGATGAGAATAGACTTCCAAAAAAGGTACTGTATGGACAACTAACAAAATCCAAGCGATCAGTTGAACATCTACTTTTATGCTACAAAGACAAATTGAAAGACAACTTGAAACGTTTCAACTTTGATCTGAAAACCTGGGAAAGGAGTGAGGTAATACATGTTTCATTAAGTTAAAGGATTTTGAAGACGGTAGACTGAAGCACCGTGATTAGTTTCGTAAAGCTCTGAAGTAGAGACGCCATCAAAATCCTGCTTTAAAAAATTTTCACCTGTATGTGGCTTTGTCGACTGCAGCAAGGCTGGCCTAGTATCGCACTTAAGAAAGCACAAATGAAATATGTCTTTCCCTTACCTGATTTTCTCCACAATAGCCCCTGCTAGCATGCATAAGTGTAAAAGGAGACACCATCCACTGCTGACCCTCATTTATCGTTCACGATAAGAGAGTCCATTATATATATATATATATATATATATATATATATAATATTAGTGGTCAATTTTTTTTTTCGTTTCAACCTTTGGAAGTAAAATCTGATGATCCGCAGTCTTTTAAAAGGGCTGTGGAGAAATAATTTATTACATGGACCTTAAAGTGGTCTTTTTTTATTTAAATTATATATATATATATATATATATATATATATATATATATATATATATATATATCCAAGAGGATAAAATTCAGGTAGAGCTCAATATCCAGGACAGAGCAAGAATATAATAGTTTTTTATATATATATATATATATATATATATATATATATATATATATATATATATATATATATATATATATGGTGAGGCAAAATTATCTCATCCTATACATACAAGCTAGAAAATAATTCGTTAGCTGACACCGTAGTTGATCTTTGAATATCCAGTTTTTAACTATCTTCCTCGTTGTTGATCCGAATCAGTTCATTCAAAAGTCGCGAGTTCGATCTCTGGTGCAGATAATTCATGAATATACGCAAACTTTGTCGGGGCATAATTAAGGAAGTTATCTAAAACAGGTAAAACAAAAGCTAAGATAAGGGATGAGAACAAAATACCCCGACGGGTCAAATAAAGGGATCGATTATAAAACCGCGTAAGATTACCGGATGTGATAGATACTTTAGGAAGACCCGACAATGAAACGACGGAAATATAATAAAAACAACAATGATGAAGAAGCTCGTCTGGAAGTCTCATTATATAAGTCAAAAGACGTCTTATCTTCAGCCGATTTTCACAACACGACCGCTTCTGGCACATGTAACTTAGTACTACAAACTGCACGGACGGTTCATCGCGGACTAAATCAGTTTCCCCACCAGGTTTTTCTAGTGAGGAAGGTGGCTAGAGAACCAGCAGAATTAAAAACAAGACCTGTCAAAAGGCGGGTAAAGCTTCTTATAGGGTCAACAGCTGTTTAGCACAGTCTATGTATACAGCTAGTGCGGTGATAACATGGCATCGCTGAGCGGAAGGATCCCTAGACTGGGACTAACAACCGGAATGGAAGGTCCCCCCGATGGAATCTAACGGTCGCGTGTCTGTGACCAAGTCGAGACTTCATGTCGGAGGATATCGGCTGTAGTTTGACCTGGAGAGGGATCGGCTCTGCCAGGCCAACTTGCCAAAGACATACTACGCACGAATGAATACCTTTCCAGGTATGTGAAGGGAACTGGTTAGGTGCGCATCGAGTTTATTTCAAGGAGGCGGCCTTACTCGTCCGGAGACAGGTCGGGGTTGCTGTTTGAGGCGATATGAGGCAAAACCCGAAATCGGCGATGACGATAGCGCATCACTGAAGATCACCCCTGATGCATCTAAAATGGATTATGCAACTATCTGTATATCTATCTGTATATCTATTAGTATTTCGGTCTGTATACCTATCGGGATTCGTTGGTCAGTAAGTTTTTCTGCACAACAGAGTTACCATGTTAGGCGACAAATATCGGTAAGGACTAAATTTGAAAGACAAGCTCAACTAAATTTGGAATTGACTTTCTAATTAGTAACCTAAGTTGGTTCAGTTTATTTTAAAAAGTAATCCCCAAATTTGCAAATAGTGAAATTCCGAGTTAGTACTACTGGAATTTCAAAACTAATCAAATCTTGTGGACTTGTTTACAAGTATGTTTTCTTGAGTAGCAATGGGAGATCACTTTATTACTTGGTTGTAATACAAAAGTTACCCCACACGTTTATCACATATTGGTCATTAAAAACAGGGTTTCGTCCTGGGTGTGATGATAAACTATATTTGGCAGCAAGGCCTCTGATTGGGAGGTTTTACGAGTGTGGTATCACCTCTTAATTGCTGCTATTCCCAGGTTTACCCTGACCCAGGCTGGTAGCACCTGTTAGGGTCCGAGCTATGGGCAAATAATAAAACTCCCAAGTCAAAACATAAAAATATAAATATACATTAGGAAAGAAATTACCAGCAATATATTTTTTTAAAATTACCAAAGCTCGCAAGAAAATAAAATTTCGGCATTAAATGAACCATAAGTTGATATGCCACTGAACAAGCAAACCAAACTAAACCAAAACTAAACCAAACCAAACCAAACCAAACCAAAACCAAAACCAAACCAAACCAAAACCAAATCAAACCAAACCAAAACCAAACTAAAACTAAAACCAAAACAAAACCAAAATCAGGATTGCCAGATTTGGTTTCAAGTAGCAATTTTGTAGTGCAGCTCTACTAAAATTTGAATTTCTTTTTTCTCATTAATAGCTCATCTAACTTGCAGGTGTTGATTGACTGATTTGTTTTTACGGTTTATCAACCCTTTCCAGGTTTATTATTTACATTATTCGGACTATTGTCTTCATCTTTGTCGCCATATTTATCACAACGTTTCGGCCGCTGTACGCTCCGGCCTTTTTCAGATGGATAAAAGCGTTGGTTAGATCCAGTGACATGACCCAAAGAGTGTGAGTTCAATACCCGGTTAAGGCAGTGGAGAACTTGGAGAGATGAATTAACAGGAGATAACTGATAACTAACATCCATTAAAACATGGCACGTGGAACTAGAACAGTCTACCCCAGTGAGCGAAATAAAGGGTTCAGTTCGAAATTCCAACCACATGAAGAAAGCCGGAGCGTACAACGGCCGAAACGTTGTGATAAATATGGCGACAGAGATAAGGACAATAGTCCGAATAATGTAAATAATATACATATCTCATCTCAGAAATATAGACAGCCTTTGCAGGTTATTTAAAGATATTTTTAGATTGCAAGAATTCTTTTTTGTTGCGAATCAAGTCTACGACCATATGAGACTGATGATGATGATGATGATGATGACGAAACCTCATGTGATTAGCGCTATACAATCTTTACATCATTTATGTAATAAGCACATTTATGTGCAAAATCGAATTAACAAATTAATTTATCTTCTAATATATACATAAGAAACACACAGAGGTACTTGTTACTATATATCTATCTGTATATCTATCTGTACATCGGTCTGTACATCTATCAGGTGGGACGGTGGAGTAGTGGAGATAGCGGTTCGGATTGAGGAATCGGAGAGCCGAGTTCGAATTCCACTCAGATCCATTACATTCACTTACGTGTTAATACCCTTGGGAAAGGTATGAATCCTCTTCTTTTCCCCCAGCTATGGGTAAATAGACAGAAAATAGCAACTTACTGCAGGGAAAAATTTGCCTCATCAGTCATGTATCGAAAGATACATGATCGCCTAAGCGTGTCTCGCGCATGGCACGTCACTGATATATATCTATATATCTGTCAAGTAGTAATTTGATAGTGCATCTCTATTAAGATTTGAATTTCTTTTTTCTCATTAATAGCTCATCTATCTAACTTACAGATATTGATTGATTAGTTTGTTTTTTACGGTTTATCAACCATTTGTACGTTATTTAATGCCAGAAAATAATTCTAGATTGCGAAAATTCTTTTTGAAGATAATAATGATTAAGTGTAGTAAGTCTTACTAATTAATGCATAGCTTGTTGAGAAGAGGTGGGTTCATGCCTTCCAAGCACAGTACTGTGAATACAATGAACCCAACTGGAATTAGAACTCGAATTTCTGATTTAAAATTCCGAGTCATTATTCATTACACAACCAACCTTACAGTACGTGGCATTTCCAAGCAGTCACCCATCCAGGTACTGACCAGTCTTGGCATTGCTTAACTTCGGTGATCACAGGAGAACAGTTATTCCAACGTGACGTGGCCGTAAGCCTATGTTAGACCTGATTTCTAGAGAAAATATATGGAATCTGGTTTGGTTTATTTTGTTTTACGGCATATCAACCTCAATGGGTTATTTAATGCCGACAACATTTTTTATTGCTGGTAATATTTTAATGTTTCTGCTAATATATTTCCTTCAAAACTGTATTGCTGGTAATAATTTTTTTGTAAGTATTGCTGGTAATAGTTAACTATTTGCCAATAGCTGGGACCCTAACAGGTGCTACCACCCCGGGTCAGGGTGTACCTGGGAACATCAGCAATTAAGAAGTGGTTCCACGCACCTCAAAACCTCCTGATCAAAGGCCCTGCTTCTGGATGCAGTTTAACGTCTTACCCAGGACACTTGGAATCTATTATAGCAAGAAGTGGGAGATCGGATTATTATTGGTTTTAATAAAAAATTGATCCCCCACTTAAATATACATGGGCTCTTAAGTCAAGGTTGGCAACCAGTCGGGAAGTAGACCAACTCTGAATTCAAAACTCACTCACCTGAGTATGGTTAGATATGGCATGTAGT